CCCCCACTGTTTCCACCTTTGCTGCACTCCCTTCCTCTTTTGCTGGTTGGTTGGGTGCCTGTGTGTGGTGTGGTTTTGGATGTATGGCTACCAGAGGTTGGAAGTTGAATTTGCAGCTAACGAACCCAAAGCGACATGAGCTGTGCCTATGTCAAAAAGCGCACTGGTCAGCTGCTCAGTATAAGATTGCAATGAACTCAGGTCCGCACCATTTCAGGCTTAATTGCATTTCAAAGTGAAAATTGTGCATGTACGCATGGTGAGATCAATGTGGCATGGCTCGTGCATTCGCCCACAACACGAATATGGTGCCTTTGCTTGGGTGACCCAGCTGAGCCATTGGCTCGGCGGGGCATCCACAAGTGGGCGTAGCGCTGGCGTAAGCGATGGGGCATGTGTCAGGGACGGCTACGTGCAACAGGTCAAGTGATCTTCCAAAATTGCGTCAGAATGCTGAGAATTTCCAAATGTGGTCTCGAGTGAAAAGGTTCCGCTAAATGGGTTTGTTTTACTTTGTGGTGCATAAAGCATTTGTTGTGCCGGTCCGCTGGCTCAAAATAGATGTGTTTTGTGGTTATCGAATTCAGTGTTACCCCCAGATTATGACCTTTTGCCAGACTCTGTCCAACAAATTACAGGGCTCACTATATTTCCGCCTCAAAGAAAAGTAACCATCACCTTTTACTGTAACTTGGTTTTTTATGCATTTGCCCGTCCGCTTGCCCGTCCGCTTGACTTCGTTCGCGAGCAAGCATTTCAGAAACAGAAGTGGATGTTCGGCTATAGAATTTTCTGAAAAGTAATTTCCTCTTTACACACCCGCAGCTCACTCCCGCCACCGCCATGTGCCACCTCTCGAGCTGGCTACGCCTATTGGAGGGCCTATAGTCAGACATGGGCGTCGGGGGATTTGGCTGGGCATGGCGGAGTGCTTTATTGATATTTTTCACAGGGTAAAGGCTGGCCTCGCTTCAGGGCAGGGTTAGCATTTCCTGCTGTACACCACTTGTGATATTCCATGCTCTCCACATGACATGCAGCATTTGTGAAATGCACAGAAGATTGAGTATTATTATTGTATCCTCGGGCCAGCTACGCTTCACTCAAGCCCTCCTTTTTTGATGGCTTAGTCAGCTATTAAGCTAGCTTCGGTGCGTCCCAGCTGATACCGGCTGAGCCACGCTCTCCACATCACATCCGCCATCTGTGAATGCCACAAAAAATCAAGTTTCACTCAAATCCTCCTTTGAGGGCTTAGTCAGCTGATCTAGCTTCGGTGCATTCGAGCTGATACCGGCGGAGGTTGCAAGTCCCAACTCTCCTTGGCCACAAGATTGTCGATTGTCGGAAGCATTTGATGTCCGGGCCCTCAGGCGTCATTGCTATGACTAGACGGTCTTGGGCTGTGACCAACAGAAACACATTGAAGCACATTGATTATTATTGTACTGTATAGGCAGATACCTGTCAATCTATGGGCGCGGCTCCACCGGCTAGCGACCCTTCATCCAATCAATCTCCCTTTAAAGGAAGGTTCTGTCCACGCAACTTTCAACACATTTAGCTGCGGATGGTTTCAATGTGGCCCCAGCAAAAGCATTCACCGGAAAGGAATTTGTCTCCCGAAGGTTGGGTCAAAATCTTCAAGTGTAGTGTAGGTCTACGTCGCGGACACTTTTTTCGAATCAAATCACCAACAACAAGTTGGAACAAAACATCCCAATCTTGACCGAAGCGCAATCAACCTGGGGGTTCTGGTGTCAAATCTGAAGATCCGGTGGTCCTTTGGCTCGACTGTGGCGGTGGCATTCCCAGCGACCTCAGGAACCAAGCAAACTCAACTGACAACCAACCACAATGCAAATTTACAACCGAACACAAACGAACAACAACAAGTGGCAGACACCAACCGAACACACAACTAACACAACTGACTTAAGACAACAAGCAAACCGCACACCAGAACCTGGGCACCCGAGTGCTGGCATGCCAAAGCCGACCTTGAGCGGCCTCCAGCTGGCCCAGTTCTGGTCTCGGCGACAGGCCGAGAAGGTTCTCTTCACAAGAAGAACCCGTGGCACGCCTTACCTGGATCTTCCGGTCTTGCGAAGAGGAGGAGGTAGAAGTGGAGGAGGTGGAAGTCACAGAAGCAGAGCTTACTGGCGATGGCCTCCAACCTACTGGCCACGGCCTCCAGCCAGGAAGGCGATGAAGACTTGGATGTTGCTGACCGTGAAATGCCGGAGCGAGCTGGCGAAGCTAACCCGGACCTGCTGGACATGGGCAGATCTGTGCTCCTGTCGGGTCTGGTCTGTGTGGCATGAGTTTGGTGGATCTGGACTCCTTCTTCGAAGACGCGCCGCTCTGCTGAAGGTCTTTTCTTCCCAAGCTCATGATCCCCAAAAGATCCGCAAATCCCGAGGACGTGCCAATATCATCCCACAGTTTCCTCCCCGCCACCAAGGCTGCAATTGAGCGTGTGAGGGCGTTCATCGACTTCACTTGAGGGGAAGTCGGGCGCAATGTCTTGGAGGAGCTCGTGACACAGCTTTGGTGAAAGAGGTCTCTCGAGTTTTGGCAGAGGACCTCGGGAAGAAAGCTTTGCTGACGGCAAGGGCCAAGCGGGGGTGGGAAGCTGCTCAGCAACCACTGGCCAGCTCCCTTGCCTTGGCGAGCAAAAAGCTGAGATCAGAGCAGGCTCTGGCAGCAACGCACCGGAACCCTGTGGCAACGGATCTGACTTGAGGATCTGCAGGTTGACCCTGGAAGAGAGCGGCAATTCTCACAGGTACGGAACCCCATCTGTGTCCTAATATGATCAAAACACATGTTTTCAATTAAGAAGGGAAGGTCAAGGACCACCTTTGGTAAAGGATCAAAATCATGGAAAGTGAGGTGGTTCAGGGATCAAACAGGTTTCCGAAGCCATGATTCCGGAGTGCGCCTTTGTCACACTCGAAGGGGAGGAGCTACCGCATGAAACGTGATTGGAGATCTTTGTTCAAGACCTTGGGCACGACTTCATTAACGGCTTGCCAACATTGCGCACTCAAAACCAAATGAAGTCGGAAGTCGTGCAAACAACAGATGCGCGCGCGCTCTGTTTCACTACAAAGTGGACTAGTCAAATCATGCCTGTGAAAGGTGTTTGGGACTTTATTTATGTACTTGTAAGCATAAAGCCCATATTTTGTAGATTGCAAAACAGCTTGGGACAGAGCTTTGTGTAGACTCCATCCCTAGTCCCCTTACAAACTGTTCGCTCGCCCATTGCTGGTAGAGAGCACCTCCTGAACTCCGACGTCCGATCTGCGCAGGACGCGCTTTGCACCATGCAGATCGCCACGGTGCCGGACCGGTGGCCACGGCGAGCGAACGTGCTGCCGGGCGCACCTTTCGCAGTGCCGGGTGCACCGGTGCTGCATGAAATCTTCAAGCTTGGAGTTCCAGCAGGAGCCGGGGAGGGGAGAAGGAGGTTGAAGGCAAGGATCATGTGTGCCATGTGCGAGTTCCATGGGGCTGGGGGGGACATAAGGTTGGAGATGTGCTGTTCTGTTGACAATGTCTCTTTGTAGGGTTTGTAGGATTTTGTGGGTAATGTATACGGTAGAGGTTTTTGAAGTTTTGATTGTTTTTTCATGGGTCCAGGTCCAGGTGTTGGACCTTGATTCATGAACATGAAAATGCATGTTCCATGGGTTTGTCACATAAAGGCATGCCGGGATACCAGTTTTTCAGGACTGCTGCATTAAAACTTACCCCACAACAAGCGCAGCAAAATGTTTGCCAAGGGGACATTCTGATGCACAAGTTTCCCACTATTTTCAGCCTGTGTTTTGGAACCGCCTTTATGGTTCATAAGATGAAGATGAAGCCCACTAAACAATAAAGATCATTAAAAACAAATCAGGATTACAGTTGTCATTGTAATTGTCTCACGAAAAATGCAGATTCTCAGATTGGAATGAAACGATGAAGATGAAGTGCTTAATACGAGGCGCGCAGCAAAAATACCTGTACATCGGTAGAAGGCCCACAAACGCCGAAAATGAACTCCGTTGACACCAAAATCAACCTGTACAGGCATCCAAGCTTTACCGCTTAGAGTGGGAGATGTTGAATTTGCACGTGGTTTGCGAAAAATATGTTTTTCCCTGGTATTGATGTAGGGCAGTGAATGTTCTGTTTCTGACTTCGAGGCGGTGCAGAAAGGCCATGGTGGTCCAGTGGGACGCTTGGAGGTGCAAGCAGCGCTAGGTTTTGAAGCTCGGGACTCTCATCAATCTGAGTGACTAGTGCAGTCGCACACCGAAAGCCATCGGTGGGATCCTACAAGAACCTGGTTTTCTCAGTCACACTATTGGTTCAATCTTCAAGAATTCACTAGCGGCACTTGGATTTCTTCGGTTGAGCTGTTCTGCCAAAAGGGCTGACATATTGAAAGATGAAACTTGGGGAGCCGTCCCTTGGAAGCAGGAGGCGGCTCAGACTTGCAGTTCCCTGTCCTTAGCAACCTCAAGATCACCTCCCCGCCAACAACCCCCTCTGTGAAAAGGCAAATAGACCTGTCTACCCATTCCCAAATCAAGTCCTTCAAAGCCCTTTCTTTCTGTATATATTGTTTTTTTCTAGTCCCACATGGTAAGCAGGTGAGACTTGCAAGGACGAAACCTAAATAAATAATGGAAGTGCAACTGCCCCAGTTTCGCGAGTTTCCCATAAGCTGGACTCGACAAAAACATATGCTTCCATCTCTACCCCGCCAACCTTGGTTTTGGATGCTTCAAACAATAAGTTACAATTCCCAGGACCCACCTGACCCAAAATCGAAGGTAACTTTTGCTTGTCCTTGCTGTGTAGAGCTTGATGGACTGCAGCAGCCTCCTGGCCTGTTTCGCCAATCCCAGGGTGCCTTGTCCTCCCTATGAGCCCGGCAACAGCTCAGCCCCACACTGCGCCATTGGCTACCGATGGGAGTCAGACGTCACCGGCACGGTGCATGGACTAGGGACCACGGGTCAAGTGAAACGTGAAGGGCATCAGATTCATTGCGTCGAGCTCGACCAATCAACTGTGCCAGGCGCATTCATTTGCAATTTCTGCCATACTCTCTTGTTGTTCTTTTGGGTCGCAAGTTTGTTCTGAATGGCGTGCTTTGTCTAAGAAGCAAGTGCCTCCCTCAACCATGGGGTGATTGCAGTATGTTGTTGGGTTTTTGGCAAGTGAGAGATGTGTTGATTGCAAACCCTATGCCGTCATGGATAGGGTGAAGCACCTTATCTGTCACGGCAGGTCCAAGATGTTTCCCTATCAACGACTGAAATGGTCGAAAACGCTCAATAAAGGAAACATGTTGGCTGTTGGCAACAGTGTTCCAAGCAGCGCTCCATTTCTTCCCGCCAGCCATGCGTTGCGACGAAACTGTGCAAAGGCGAATACGCCACGGACCTGTCTTTGCAGTGGTACGATGCCAACAGCGGTCGCTTTCGGAGCTTGCTCCGGCGTCATGCCTTTGGTGGGCCGCTGGTGATGTCTTACCAAGGCGTTTTGGCCTTGGAATGCGCAGCACTTGGTGCATAAATGCGCTTGATCTGGATAAAGCTCAGATTTGACTCGCTCAGAGAACTTGTCTTGAAATAGGAGGTCACTTAATGTGGCCCCTATCAATGGGAAAGAGCTTCTGAACAAGAGGACGACACGGAGCAAGGGGTACCAGCAGCTGTTCCGCAAGCTTCCACGTCACAAGCTCGAGCAACGAATTTGGGGTCGTCAATGGTCGTCAATGATCTCATGTTCTACGTGATAGATGACGAATGTGCCTTCATGGCCCGTGCGCGATTCCATCTTGGACGGCATTGAAGAGACCCTACGGGACACAACCTCCATTTGACAATCCCTCGACAAACAAAGTCAATATTATTCAATTTGATACTATAAATAAATATTTAAGAGTAATATTTATATCAATGCCTTGGACGATAATAAGTACTGGGACAGGACCGGGGCCTTGTGCACAGCCGCTGGACTCGCAGCAAAGGCCTGACCCTCGCCACTCTTGTCTGTCTATGCTGTAGTGCTTTGTTTGAAGGTGGAGTCCAGGAATGGGGCTGAAGTTGCTCAGATGGCTCAGGACAAGTTGGTCTGAGGCCTTCACTAGGTCACTTGTCACCTGGCTGGAACTTGGTGCGGTGAAAGCTAGGCCGGCAGATCAAGTTGCCGTCCTGCTTGCGCGGGCTCGTGGCCGGGCCATCCGGCGCTGGCAGACCATTGTGGGCGAGCAGCCGGGTCTCCCTCATGATGTCGGCGCGGTGTTGGTGCTCATCTTCCATCCCTGGATTTCATGCGATCGCTGCTTGAGCTTTGTCCTTGCCCTGATGTCCACTTTCTTTGCGGTCCTGAGCGGACTTTGTGTGGTTTTTTTTGTTTGTCTCCGAAGATGTGGTTTTTACTCACTCGTTGCACGCCTTTTGGCCAGATTGATGCCCAGCTCGGCGCGGCACTGGTAATGGCTTGACGCCGTCGTTTTTTTGGGGGCAGGCTGTGTCTTAATTTGCGCAATCGTTTCTCTGGGGCCGGTGTTTATCGCATTTTTTCGTTTCTCATCCGATTCAGAAGAATTTGAATCAAAGATATTAATATGATTTTTGTGTTTTGAATTTAATATTGTTTATAAATTGATTATATTATAATTGAATTATTTTGAAATAATATTAAAGAATATATATATATAATAACAATATTAATTATATGTTATATTTATTATATTGAAATATAAAATATATTGAATATTGAAAGGATAATATATTTTTATTTATTTGGTTCTTAATGCATTAATTATTTATTTGTATGAAAATATGGGAGAATTTCTAAGAAATTGTTGATTGGTTTTTAAAATATTATAGAGAAATTAAAATTTAATTGGTTAATTGATTTGGGTAAAGGAAAAATGTTTATTTTGATAAATCGATGGGAATTTGAAATTAGGTTATTATATAGATATTATTGTAGTCTTAATTATTATATTGTTTTTATTGAAGGTATGTATGGGGATTATTTATATTTATAATCGATATAATTAAAATATTAATATGTTTAATGAATTTAATTAGGCGTAATATTTAATTATGGGATGGAATTGATTGAAATGGTTATTTGAATTTATATGGCGGTAGGTTATTTTCTTTTAATTGGCATAATGTTACGAAGCGGTGTACGAATTACGGATCGGCAATTAGAATATGGAGCTTTTGCAAAATGAAGCAAAAATCTTAGGATTTGAATCTTGATATTTTATGTAAGGTATTGCCTACAATGATCTTCGGTGAATATTTTCTTCGAAATTTAAATATTTATTAATTCGTTGTCGTATCGATCGAGATTGAATTTGTTAATCCGTTAAATTAATTCTTGGATAAACATTTGAAATAACGTTTATTGGAGGAATTATATTGTTTATTTTTTTTTCTAATTTATTTTTGTAAATTCTAAAATTTGGACCTCTCGAGGAGCAATGGCATTAGATTTCCCCGTCTATATTGGGCAAAAATAGAAATGATCATTAAGATCCTAAATAATATTAGCATAAATTAAGGATGAATATTATTAGCAAAATCATGAATATTTATATCATTATTATATTGAATTTAACATTACTATTCTTATTATTATTTATATTCTCAATATTATAATCGATATTAATTAAATTCAATATGAAATTCCCACAGATTACAGGGAAAAAAAAACAATTTCATCATTCTTATGAGCATGGTGAATGGCATCAAGATTCCATATAGCATTGTCTTAGATTAAAAGATGAATAATTGACTTCATTTTCATTTCCATGAAATTTATTATTGCTAAAAATATTAATATTCGTGTTATATTTTAAGCATTAATATTATAATTAAATTCTTATAGAGAGTTGCATTAATATTCCCATTAATGTAATGAATGGCATTAAGGTCCCGTAATTTGCGGGGAAAATGATATCCCATTATCATCGTCATTAGCATTTTCATTGCCATTAATATTACTATTAATATTATGGTCCAATAATATTAGCATTATTATTATTAGCATCATTATTAGTATTACCATTGATATATCCAATATTAACAATTTCTTTAATATTAAATCCTCATAGGTCAAAGGAGGAATAATATAACGATTATGAAATTTAATTGTCATTATCATTACCATTAGCATAATCATTACTACAGGAGTGTGTGGCCTTAACCTCCCACAGGTCCTAGGGTAATTGATATTAAGGTCCCATAATTCATTAGGAAAATAATATTAACCCCATCATTGTCATTTGCTTTGTCATCATCACCATTTGCATTCTCATTGCAATAGGAATTGGCATTACCATTTTGATCCCCATTGCCATAGGTCCCAGGGTGCATAATTCTAACAAATCAAAGGATAAATGGTATTCCATTATCATTATTATATATATTATCATTATCATTAGTATTGCTAGGCGTCGCAGGATGAATAACCGTTACCCCTATCATTTTCATTAACATCAATATTACCATTGCTAGTGACATCAACATTAGCATTGCTAATGCCATAAACATTAGCATCAATATCAAATTCCCACAGATCACAAGAAAAATTGTATTATCATTCCTCATAATATCAAGATCCCGTATAAGATTATTATAGATCGAGGATGAATGAATATTACCAATACCTTCAATATCCAATTTACAGGCATATTATCATTAATACAAATATTAATATTGATATAATATCTTAAATACATATATCAATATCAAATTCCCACGGGGGATGGCATTTCCGTTCCCGTTAGCGTGATGAATGGCATCAAGATCCCATAATTTCCAGGGTAAATGATATTCCATCATCATTATCATTAGCATTCCCATTATCATTAGCATTCCCATTGTCATTAGCATTGCCACAGATGATTTAGAAAAAAGACCTTGAATGAACATCATGATTCCAACAACAAATCGTGCGATTTACAAGCGGCAGTCTTCATGTTTGGTGGTGGTGGTGGTGGTAGTAGTAGTAGTAATAGTAGTAGTAGTAGTAATATACAGGAGTAGTAGTAGTAGTAGTAGTAATAGTCGTGATGGAACTAGCAACAGCAGTAGCAGTAGCAGTAGCAATAGCAGTAGCAGTAACAGTAGCAGTAGTAGTAGTAGTGGTAGTATTAGAAAAATATTGAAATGCGGATGTCGTTTGGAGGTCGTTTTTTCGCCGAGAAATTTGGCTAAATATTGTCCATCGAAAATGAGTAGAGTAGCAATAACAGGCCTCATAGGAGTAGCAGGAAATGGAACAACAGAAGAAGGAACAGCAATAGTACCAGCAATATCAACAACAGGAGAAGGAGCAGCAACACTAGCAGGAAGAACAAGAGGAGCAGGAGCAACAAAAGGAGCAGGAATAACAAGAGGAGCAAAAATAACAGCAAGCAAATATATGATGCACGTAATCAAGGAGGTTGATTGAATTACATTTTGGATGTCGTCCGGAGGATGGTTTCCTAGCTAAATGACGCAATGCATAAAAAGACAGAAAGCATCAGAAATAATTGTGGCAGTGCGTGGAATTCTAAACGAAGGATTTCATAATATTAATATCAATCTACCTTATATTCTTTAAGAATGAATGATCAATACTTGAGGCCGAGGGTAGGTGACGAAAATTAACAGGGATGCATTCGTATCAATGGAGACGAAATATATAGCACCGTCATGACAAAGGATTGGAGGGACATCAAACGGAGGGAGGCAAATCAATTTTTCATAGGCATGGAATGGTTGGAAGAATGATTCACAAGACCTTATTCATGAGGTTTAAAAATGAGAAAGATATATGAATAGCCAAGAGGCGTTGAGGAATTGAGCCAATCTAGATGCTATAAGAGGTGTCCAAGAGGTCTCCCAGAGGCGTCCCGGGGCGGAGTTGATCCCCCTGGGGGGTGGAATTCCCCCCTACATATGAAATTTTCACGTGATATGGCGATCTCGAGGATTCCAATCCTTCATTTGCTACAGGAAGGACATTTCCAGCTAGCTGGTGCTAGCTTTCGTGATCAATATTATGGCCCAATAACATGAACATCACCATTAATATGCCCAATATTATTAGCATCATCTTTAACATCAAACCTTCATAGGTCAAAGAGATAATGACGTTATCATCACGATATTTAATTATTATTGTCATTCCTAGACCTTCAATATCCCCAAAATATTTTGGTCGATATGATTTATATTATTTTATTGTGACGATCAATTGAAAAGTGGTCGAGCACATACGATTCAAATAAAGAGAGGTTGTGCATGGTCATACATTGCCCTGCCCGTGGCCTCTGGATGATTGATGGATGATGATGATGATGACGACGATGATGATTGGTCGGTTTCACGGGAATTCAAAGGTATAATCTCTTTTGTTTGCACAAAATTTGTAACGAAATCAAATGCAATTGGGTTTGCCATCGCTTGAGCAATCGATATACCCCTCTAAGAAAGAACGATATTCACTAATCCTTGGTCGATCAGATATTGGCCTAGCGCTCCAAGAATTATAAGCACACTCGAACACAATAAAACTATAAGATGCGCCAATGATATACGAATATGCAAAAGGAACCATAATGCATTTTTGCTAACAAATAATTTCATGTCGACATGATGCTCGTAGTTCAATATGATTAGGCATTCATTTTCTCCCGAACAGCTTGTAACCAAAGATTGTCCAAGTCGAACAGGCAATCCTACTCATGACATTCAACCCAAAAGAGTTACAACTCAATGAATTGAGAGGTATTTCAAAAACCCATTTGACCTCCTTTCTGGGATTTGTGGGCGTTTGCGGGTTTTTTGGTGTGTTTTAAGGGTTTTTGTGGGCATTTCGCCG